CAACGAATGGAGAGGCAAGTACGTCAGTGGGAGATCCATTTGAACTTGTTCTCAATTGCGAAGAAGTAATTGCTAAACTACAGGTAAGAATAGATTCCTTCACACCCCATTATGCAGACAAACTATGTAACTCCCATGATCAAACTGTAGTTTCAGAACCTAAACGTTGTTTGGTCAAACTACCTAAACTTGTCATCCCAATCTTTGATGGTGACGTCCTCAAATGGCAGGAGTTTTGGGATTCCTTTTCCTCCTCCATTCATAGCAATGATGCTCTTACTGTAATTGACAAATTTAACTATTTGAATTCATTACTTGAGGGGGAAGCTAAATGTTGTATATCCGGACTCCCACTAACATCATTAAACTATGATACAGCAATTTCTTTACTGAAGAGTAGGTTTGCTAACAAACCGATAATTGTAAACTCACACTACAAGTCACTAATAGAAATTCCTCCTGTTAAGTCTAATGACACAAAATTCTTGCGTCGTACCTTCGACATAATTGAAAAACATATGAGATGCTTACAAGCCTTAGGGGAGGATACAAATTCAAACTACTTCCTCACACTTATTACTAGTAAATTACCTCTCAATGTTTTACTGAAGGTTGAAGAACTAAACTTAGGCGAAGAATTAAACGTAAATCGACTTTGTAGTACAATTCAAAACATTCTAATCGTTAGAGAGAAATCAGAGATGCTGTTGGGAATCTCTACTAAGTCTAGGGATGTGACTGTAGAGCATATAATTCATAAACCTACCTCAACAGCTGAGACCCTGTTATCTGGTGATAGGTCCTGCAAGCTAAGACGATGTATATTTTGTGATAAAGACCATTGGAGTGATCAATGCACGGCATTCAGCACAGTAAGTGAGCGCAAGGACAAAATAAAGGGGTTATGTTTTATTTGTTTAAAAAGGGGACATAGCCTTAAAAATTGTAAAACTTTCAAGGCTTGTGTTTTTTGTAAGCAAAGCAAAAATCACCACAGGAGCCTTTGCCCTAAACAGTTTCCACCAGGTATCACCAAAGATGCTGTGAATTCCCCGACTGTTCCTACGGGACGAGAGTTACAAGTACTAAAGCCAATTGGAGGCTCGTCACACTTGACCACAACTCAATTAAAATCAACTAAGTTATCGTCTCTTCTTGCAGTTAACGAACAGGTAATTTTACAAACTGCAATTGTAATTGTTACAAATGAAGTTAACAAACTAACTCACACTGCTAGACTTTTATTCGATTCAGGTAGTCAAAGGTCATACATGTCAAAGACATTAGCTTCTAAGTTACAATTAAAATCCGAACAACATCAGATTTTAAATGTGTTCACTTTCGGAAACAAAGGTTGTAAAACTCTTGAGACACCTGTTGTTTGTGTTGGTATATCGCTTTTAAATAAAGACACAATCAACGTACAAGCAAATGTTGTGCCTCACATAACTGGACAAGTCCACTCAAGCGGGATGATAGATATTATTGATCAAATAAAATCAATATATCCTAACTTAACTTTGGCTCAAGGTCAACACCTGAACTCCGAAATTGACCTTCTTATTGGAAATGACTATTACTTGGACTTTATAAATGACGACAAAATTGAGGTAAGCAATGGACTTTTCCTCTTAAACACTAAATTAGGCTGGGTCATCAGCGGAAGGAGCTTAATAAACTCTATTGAAACTGACTGAAACTGACTCTTACTCAACTTCATTCTTAACTACGGTCCAGCCATCTAACTTGTTTGTTCCTAAAGCTTACTTTCATTCTGCAGATTCTCAACT